AGATGAGTGCAGCAGGTGTGGAAGAAAGCACAGGTAACATTACTGAGGGCAGAGAAAACTTGACTGAAATCACCTGAACTGAAACATCACATCAATCCAAACTATCACTGTCATAAAAAAACTAACCACAATTAGCTCGACGCTGAGAAGTTACAGTCAAACTGGCAGAACAGCATTACTCTGATCATCTACAGGAAATCATTTAGAGTCCATTTCTGTTGTCGAGTCGGTGCTGCAGACACCTCTGAGCACAGTTCACAGTCACCGTCTGTGGAAGCTCGTCGAGCTAGTGTATACACTCAGGGATGAAGCTTGAGTTATTGATTTGTCTCTTTAGTCTCTCGCGGTTTATTAAGAAGACAAATGACAGGCTGTGGTTGGTGTGCCTGCAACCCTGTGTAGCACAGACCTGTTCTCACCACTGCATGAACCACAAAGAACTCAGGTGTTGGTGTTTGAAACAAAACGTTAAAAAGCAACAGAGATTAAAGAGAGACTCAGGTCACAGGAATAACTCATCACAGCTCAGGTAAACAGGCAGCTCTGCAGTTTCTCAGTTCCTGACTGTTATTATAAAAAGTTTGTCTGAACAGTAAATCAGAATAAAACTTGTAGATGTACTTACGAGGTAGTGAGCCGGCCATGCTGGTGCTGCTCAGGGTTGAAGCTGTGTCACAGTCACATGCCTGCTGCATGAGCTGGTTGTTGTACCGTGACGATTGTCCCTCCCTTTAAATGCAAGGTGCCAGACCTGTCCTACACACAGGAACAACACTTGGGCTGTCGCACCGAACACGGGGAAACAGCCATCAGTGGCTCTTTCAGACAAAACAGCATGCTCAATCATCCAGGCAAGTACATCCCAGTGGCAGTACAGTGCTGGGACACTGGTACAGCACATGAGTGTGCAGGCTTCACAAGCAACAGATGTGCAAAATACAAGAAACATATAAACAAAGACAAATATAAGAATAGGAATATGAGAATTATGAGAATAAATATATGTACAAATATAAGAATGTGCGTCACTAATATATACTGTATATGTCATGGCCTGCGCTGGCAGACCATGGGGAGGTGGGGAAACAGGACCCAAACGCCGGACTCTTCAGTGCAGACAGTGTTTATTTACAAGGTGGTGAAGTAAACAACAATAAATCCCCTTGTGTCCCAGACTCCCGTTCCGTGTCTTCATCCAGTGTCAGTGCTGTGTCTCCACTCCTTAGCGTTAGTGTGGTCCGTGTTTAGGGATGGGTACCGGTATCCGGTGCCATGATGGCACCGGTTCTGACATAAACGGTAGTAACCAGACCGAAAAGCAGCGCACATTTC